CTGCTCTATGAGATTCCCTCTGTCTCCTCTGACCATTTACCCACTGCTTGCAACCCCACTATTTAAACCTTCGACATTGTAGAGCCTTCCCCACAAATTATGTTACTTGCCTGGTAAAATCATGATACTGGTGGCACCTCAAACATTGTTGGAAATGAAACTCTAATATTATGTTCACTTTCTCTCCAATTCTGAATAACACATTTGAGGAAAGATAAGCTAGAAAGATCAAGAGGAGGACCATCACGATGGTGGAGGGCCTCAGACATCATGCCATGTAAACATCAGCTGAATGAATTGGAGATGTTTAGCTTAGAGAAAAGAAAATGTGGTTGGGAGGTAGGAGTGGGAAGTGATAACTATAAAGGTCTGTAGTCTGGAAGTCTCAGGCCATAGCCTTACTCTCCAACCATCTCCACCTCACTGGATACTAGGACTCCATTCCTGGCTTTCCTCCCCTCCAGAGGTGAGCATTTTGCCTTATCCAGCTAGGAAGCAGGCTACCCCAACAATTCTTTAAGTTTCCATACCACACTCCCACTTGGTTATCCAGTCCACTCTCTAGTACTCCTTATGTGTTTCCTTCCCCTATTAAAACGTAATAGGTCAGGGACTGTCTTCTTTGCTTTTATATATATCTCTCTCTGGCATTTAGCACTGTGCCTGACACTAAGTGTTTAATAAATATTTTTTCTATCTATCCATCTACCCAACCATCCAGTTCATCTGTCCATCTATCCATCCATTCATCCATCCATCTATATCTTTCTCTCTCTCTCTGTCTATCCAAACATCTATCCATCTGTCCACCCATCCATCTATCTATCTATCTATCTATCTATCTATCTATCTATCTATCTATCTATCTATCTATCTATCTATTTATCTATCTATCTAGTAGAGAGATCAGAGTTGTTCTGCTTGGTCCCAGATGGCAGTGGGTGAAAGTTGCAAAGAGGCATACTTGGGCTTTACACAAGGAGGAATTCTTAACATTTGCAAATATCCAAAAGTGAAATGAGTTGCCTCACTAGTGGTCTTAAAGTAGGGTTATGTTGTAGAGGGACACATTGGACTAAATAATTTTGAGGTCTCTTTAGGTAGGAGATCTGTGCTTCTGTTACCTTGAGCGGTTTCCATGGAAGTAGTGGGGAAGGGTCAAACGTGAAAGAGACTTTAGAGTTAGCAAGGGGTCACTTTTGCATGTCAGGGGAATGAAGAAGAGTGTTATATGCCTGGTTGATTGGAAGGATGGTGATGCCATTGACAGTAATAGAGAAGCTGGGGTTAAGACCAGTTTGAGGGAAGAGAGTGAGTTCAGTTTTAGGCATGTTCAGTTTGAGGTGCTAATGGAATACCCAGGTGGAAAAATCTAAGAAGCTACTAGAAATATAGGACTGAAGATCTAGAGACGCATTAGGTGGCAGTTTAGATTTGGTAATTATATGCATGGAGGTGATAATTGAAGCCGTGGCAGCAGAGGAGATTCCTAAGGGTGAGAGTGTAGAAAAAGAAGAGAAGAGGGCCTAGCATAGAACCTGAGAGAAGAGCCATGTTTAAGCAATTGGAGGAGAGGAGGAGTCAACAGAAGTGACAGGGAAGGAGTGGTCAGAAAAGTAAAAGGAAAACAACGAGAAGGTAGTGTCACAGAAGTCAAAGAAAGAGAGAACATCAAATAGGAAACTGGTGAATGCCAACAGAAAGGTCAAGACAGATAAAGTGAGAAAAGGCTATTGGATTTGTCAGTGAGGAGGTCACTGGTAACCTAGTTTCAGTTGAATTATGGGAACAGAAATTAGATTGCAATAGATTAGTGAATAAGTGGGTGGTGAGGAAGTGGAAACAAGGAGTGTAGATTTCTCTTCCCAAGAAGTTGGGCTGTGAAGAGGAAGAGAGAGAAGGCAATGGCTTCTTCTCCTCCGTTTCTCCTTTAGTTATCAGAATGAAGGGAGAGCTAAAGCAAAGAAAAAGCATTAAGATCCCTCTGAAAAAGATGTTGGATATATTTGAAAGAGTCATCTTAGCATCATGAAGTTAAAATGCCCTTCCCTACAGAAAGACATTTTTACCCACAAATAAATATGAATGCAAAACAAAACCACACCACTCCTTCACCACAAGGCCAGATGACTTATTAAGGCCCAAACCACACGCAGAGTCTATGATGTCCCAAGCATCCTGGCATCCTGTCTGAGACAGGGTGCCATGTGGCCACACTAGGAAACCAAGTTAGCTCATAGCATATTGTAAGTTGGCATTGATTGAAGGTGACATCACCATCTGTATATCTCACCACATTGAACAACAAATTCATTCTGTAGTCCAGCTTCCAAAAGATTGAGAAGATTGCTTATGCAAAGTCCAAATAACTGGTGCCATGTTTAAGAAAGCAGCGGTCTCTCTGACATTTTAGAACTACTCCCATGTGTTTTGTCTAATAACAGCTAGCATTTATAATGTTCTATAAGATTTGCTCCATTCATTTGATCCTAACAACCTCTATGAAGAAAGGTGCTATATTAGCTTCATTTTACAGGTGAGGAAACTGAGGCTGACAGAGCTCAAGCATTTGCCCAAAGTCACAATGAGTGTCTGAAGCAGGATTTGAATTCAAATCTTTTTGACTCAACAGTCCAACACTGTGCTACCTTGCTCTCCTTAGTTGCCTTCCATTTAAATTCACAGGTAGCATGTGTGATGGAAAGAGTCAAGTTAGAGAGGCACAAAGGACAAATTATCTTGGTCAGAGGTTCCCAAACTTTTTGGCCTATCTCCCCCTTTTAAAAAAATTACTCAGTGCCCACCTGGAAATCTACTTTCTTTAACCCTTTAACAGTTTCTTAAAAATCATTTCAAAAAAATATAAAATTTCCAAAAAAAGAGACACATCTTAAATTTAATAATTTAATATAAAATTGAGGGTTTTTTTCCATAGAAATGTTGACGACGCAATATTGTATCATGTAACTGTACAGTATCGTATTATATACAAGTCATCACACACACATATTCCTGCCCATGCATGCTGGACTTTCTGACAATTGGAGACATCCTGGCTTGCCAACACTTGTTTGCTAAGACCTGTCAGCAGACTTGACCACTGATGGGTTATAACATGCATTTTGTGTGTTTATTTGGAAAATAACATAATCACTACAATTTTAACTCTATTACATAACAGATGAAACGTGTAGTTTTTTAAAATTCTCTTCTCTTCTTTCTTCATGCTTCCACTGCCCCCCTTATTTTTATTCAATGCCCCCCCCATTGCACTCAAGGCTACTACCATCCTTCTGGATTGGTCCAGTGCCTCCTAGGGGGCAGTATTGTCCACTTTGGGAACCTATGATAGTTTTGATGCTCTAATGCCTTCATTTATATGACAATGAAAATGACATATCCATCCCTGTGTTTAAATATTCAAATGAGTGTGGAATCTCATCAATTCACAAGTTCCCTCCAACAATGCAGATCAAAACCAATCCATGCCTACATATTCTTTATGACCCTTGTCCATCTTCTCTCAAATATTCACCAAGAAGGGTCACCAAGTGTGCTGGAGGCCTATAATTGTCATATAATATCATACTTTCTCAGCATCTCTTGTAGCAAATAGTTTATTACTTGTAGTGAGGGGAGGGGGAGGGGGAGAGGAGAGAGGGAAAACTGGGGGCAGGGCAGGAAATATTGCAAGGCTAAATTCTTTCCAGGTGCAGCTTGTGGACAAAATTACCTGGTCATACAGAATAAATCCTCTACCACCTCTACCCCCAGCTCCCCTGAAACCAGTCTCTGAAGGTTTTGATAAAAGCATTTGAAGAGATATGTATAAACAGTTAAGCACTCTCCTTTTCAGGTTCAATAAGTAAGGGCATTTCTGCCTCTTTAATTCCTCTTACCAAGCCTTTGGAACGGTTCCTACTGCTCCTTTTAATTCAGTAGCCCCAGGAGGGATATTGTGCGAGGAGAAAAAAATACTTATTTTCTTCTTAAAATTAGCAGGAGGGGTGGATCAAATAATAAGAATAATTCACAATTACATGGGGCTTTCAGGTTTACAAATTATTTTCTGCTCAAGATAGAGCTATAACTAGGGATGTTTGTCCTTGGGGCAAGTAGCACAAAGCCCACCCTCAGTTCAGTAGGAGCATTGAGAGCCAGAGATCCCAGCTCAAGGCTAGTACTGAAGATGGTGGGGGGAGAAGGGTGTGGAAAGGGCCATAACTCTGGCCCTTCTGGTAGCTTCCAGTTTTAACTATTCTATTCTCATCCCTATTTACAGCTGAGGGAGAAAATTGAGGCTCCAGATAGTTAAATGACTTGTCCAGGGTCAGGTAGCTAGTACATTGCAGAGCTGGAACTCAAACTCAGGGCTTTGGACTCCAAATCTAGTTTTGTTTCCTACATACCACATTGGGAGAAAAACATGCCACACTGCTCAGAGAGGGCAGAGTTCATCAGAATCCACCATGCCACAGCAGGGCTTGACAATCAGGAAAGTCTTGTGATGCTGTAACAGCAGACAGTTTCCAAGGGTAACCATGCTAGTGCTGCTTTCCCCCCTCACCTGCAAAAGAATGCAAAGCACAGGTCCTCTGGACCACTGCGTGCATGCTTGTCTCCTAGAGAGCTCTGGCTCTTGTTTCTTGGGTTGCTGCTTGCCAAGAACAGGGCCAAGCCTGGGAGCCGCAAGGTCCTTTCCCAGGTCCTGCAGCTGTCCTCCTGCCTCCAGACCCTGTCTGGTCACATGGCCCCCTCTCCTATTTTTACCCCTGAGTGTATTACGACTTACACCCATGTGAATCCGTGTGATGTCACTGGCAGATTTCACCTGTCCCCACCCCACCTCAGATTCAATGTGACTTATCCAAGGACACACACTGAGTCAGGGGTGGAGTTGGCATTAGGTCTGGAGTCACCTGACTCCGCAGCCAATGCTGACTCCACTTGACACACTGGCCCAGGGGGAATCATCCTCACAGGGTATCTGATAGCCTTACCTTTTGATGAGAGAGCAAACTGATGACTAGAAAAGCTGGTGTCAGATTTCCTTTGACATAACCTGCCTTTGGGCAATTGAGGCAAAGGATGTCTGGGGGAGAAAAAAAGCCTAGTTTAGGCTTTGAAAAAGGCAGAATGCTTTCTAATAGTCCCAAGGAGGTGAGAGACAAAAGGCCTGTCTGCCGGTCTGTCTGTGAGCCGGCTCTGAGTGAGGGAACGTAATTCAAACGCATAACACATTGTGTTGCTCCCCCTCCCCGAGAGGAGACGGTCTCCCATAATTTCGTTTTCACATAACTACTCAGGTGTTCTTTTTTAATCCTCTTAGCTGGTGCCCTCTCCCCTTAACCTTTTAAAAACAATTCTTTTAAAAAAAATCAAGAGTCATTCAGTTGCAGCCCTTCTCAGACCTTCAGTAAGCTGATTAACGATTGCCTGGCTGGTGGAATCATTGTTAACAGGATTGTTGCTGCTGGAGAAGAGAGTGAACTCTGTCTGTTTCGGATGGGCGATTAGCTAATTCATTTTCCTGAATGGTGTGGAAAGAGACTCAGGGAAAGCCTGGCCTTCGGTAACTCGAACCAGCAGACCCACAGAACAAAGGAAAAAAGAGAGGGGCTTTCGAGAATTAAAATGTGGGCTTAAACCATGAAGATTCCCTGCCCAATTTCATGGCTTGTCTCTTGTGGTTGGCCAAGAGGTTGATCTTCTTCTCAGTCTCAAATAGTGACATTGTGATATTATTTTCTCTAATGACCTGGAGTCATGGAATACCACGGCCTCTGGAGAGCCGACAATGAATAACACCCAGAGGGGCATGGACAGACACATGGTACGTGTGTGCAGGCAGCAGCATGTTACAAACCTGAAATTGCAAATTACATTCGTAAAGGAGATATGTTTTTTAGATCAGAGGCGTGATTTCATTGATATAAGGACCTTCCAGGGAAGATGCTCCCTCTACCAAATGCAGATTGGTAGCTCTTCTGTAACTTAATGTCTTAAATGTTGTATGGACCACTGAAAAAATTAAATCATTCCAGCAAGGTCAGGCAGCCAGCCTGCGTCAGAGACAGGACTTGAAACCAGGCCTTCTTGACTCTGAGGGCAGCTCTCTTCTCCTTATACTGTGCTGCATCTTTGAGGTAAAAGTAGTCATTAGAGAAATGCATGAATGATAAAAAAGGAGTATGGGGATGGTCAGGTTGTGAGAGGGAGGGATAAGTGATGGATGGCCTACATATTCGACTGCCATCTTTTCAATGTCGAGAGAAAGTGAGGAAAGCCCCCAATATGTTGGGTGGACCCCCTGTGTCCCTGTGTCCAGGACCTCCTGGAAATTGAGGCAAATAGAGTTAAGTGACTTGCCCAAGGTCACACAGCTAATAAATGTCTGAGGACAGAATCAGGAAAAGAAGTCTGCCTGAGTCCAGGTACAGCACTCTATCCACTGCGCCATCGAGCTACCCAAACCATGGCTGTCCCTATTTCCGAAGTCTTCATTACAGCAAGAACATTACATGGGACCAGGTATCACCAAGTTTCCTCTTTTAAAAATTATTATTATTACCAAATAAGCCTTTTTTTTTTCACCTCAGAGAGAAGGAGAAGCAGAGGAAACAGAAATAGGGAGATACAGGGAGAAGCTTTCTCCTTTTATTATCAGCCCTTCTCTGTTTACTGAAATATTCTGAGGAAGCTTCACCCTCCAAAAGGAACATACATCCCAATAAAATCTATTAGCTTCATTAAAATACAATGTCCCTGAGCAGGGACAATTTAAGATTAGAAAGCTCAGATCTGATTGGTCTTGGTTTGCTGATACTGTGCTCCATTTCTCTCTGGCCATGTTCATTTGCTGATAGATGAACTGTAATATGAAAGGGGAGATGGAAAATGCTACTGGATACCAGTAATTTTTTTTCAGTTTCTGAAAGTTTTATAATACTGCAACTGTAGTCTCTCTAGGCCAAGCTAGGAATCCATAGGCAAACCCCTATCAACGTGGGATATAGTTCTGCTAACCTGGTATATAGTAAAGGCTTTTGGCCAAATTCCACTGATAGACCTAGACCTGAAGAAAATTGCTAATTTGAGAAAAGTAGCCTAAGAGTTGAATTTTCTTTCTCTCTCTCTCTCTCTCTCTCTCTCTCTCTCTCTCTCTCTCTCTCTCTCTCTCTCTCTCTCTCTCTCTCTCATTTTATTAATATATTAATTTATATTATGTTATATATAATAACACACTGTATCAATATATTTAATTTATTAATTTATTAATTTAAATTTTATATATATTTAAAATGAGGCCCTCCTCAAATGGATAAAAAAAAGAAAAACAAAACCTTAATTCAATAAATATTTACTAGGCATTGTGCTAGGGTACTGGGGAATCAAAAAATGAAAAATGACCCTGCCCTTAAAGGCTTACATTCTGGAGCAAGGGGTAGGTATGTGGGAGGGAAGGGACAGGTTCTATACATGTATGTAATATAAGGTAAGGTGTTATGGAGACAAGTGTAAGATCCAGTCAAAGCACTCAAGGAAAATTTGAGGAGGGAGAGGGCACTTTCTTTCAGCTGGGAAAGTAGGCAGTAAATAGGGTAGAGGAGATCAGGAAGAGTCTCCCAGAGGAGAGATAGTTCTTGTGTTGAACCTTGGAGGAAAATTAAGATTCTGAAAGACAAAGATGAGGGAAGAATGCATTTGGGGTATACAGATTAGTCTGTGGGATTTTGAGGGGCAGGAGAAGATAGCTGTCCTAGTCTCTCTAGCAGCCTGCTAATAGACTCCAGAGGAATAGTATGAAATTAGGCTGGAAAGGTTGGCTATATCCAAACTGTGAAGGGCCTTTAATGCTGGAATAAGGACTTTATGTTATCCTAGAATAGAGGTAATGGGGATTGACTGATGGTTTTTAAACAGGGGAGAGACAGCATCAGGCAAATGCCTTAGGAAGAGGAGTCTGGGAACTGGATGACAGATGAACAGTAAAGAGAGGCTAGAGGCACGGGAATCAGGAGGCTATTCCAATCTGGGTAAGAGGTGATGAAGACATAAATTAGGGTGGTAGCAGTAGCAATGAAGAGAAGCAGAAGAGCATGAGTAGTGTTATAGTGGTAGAACCCATTGGAAATGGCAATTAATTGGATATGAGAGAAGGAGAAGATGGAGGAGACAAAGATTTGGAGTCTAAGTAACTAGGGGATGGTAACATCATTAGAAATATGAAAGCTGGGATGAGGGAAAAGGCTGAGGGGGGAAATACTAAGTTCACAGTTTTGGATATGTTGATTTTAAGTTGCCTACATCCACGTGGAGATGACCAGGAAACCATTGGAAAAGGGGGACTGGAGCCTAGGGGAGCAAAGTGTCAATTTGAGACTTACCTGTGTAGAGGTGACCACCGAACTCATGGGAATGGATGAAATCACCAAGATGATGAAAAAAAGAGAAGAGTACCCACGACATAGTCATGGTGAACACCTATATTTAAGGGGCAGTGGAACAGTGATTATTGTTGTTTGTCCTTCTTTCTCAAAGAGGACCATGACATCCAGGAGGTGATGCCATGACTTGCAAATGAATTGGATTTAAGTGAGGGAGGGCTGTGCAGAGTCACCAGTTTCACTTTTTCCTCTGGAGCCAACTGGGTCCAGTGGCAAGATATAGATCAGGATGACTGGAGATGGCCCCTAGAACAATGATGATAAACAAAGGGAGCATATTAAGAATGAACTATAAAACAGGAAGGAGAACCAGAACAGAATAACCAGTAGGAAGGGTTCATCTATGATGCCGAATGAGGTGAATTAGGACTGAGAAATCATTGTATCACTGATAACTTCTGAGGAAGTAATTTCTCACTGCCCACCCACCCATCCACCCAACCCCCATGGAGTCAGAAACAATATTTCAAGACCATACTTCCTAGGTGTGTAGTAATGAATAGGATAGACATAGTTCAATAGCTAGAGGTAATGGCAAATCAAAGAAGACAGCTAGGTGGGTCAGTGGATAGAACACTGGGCCTGTAGTCAAGAAGACCTGAGTTCAAATCTGTACTCAAGACATCAGCTGTGTGACCCTGAGTAAGTCACTTAATCTCTATTTGCCTTCATCAGCTAGAGAAGGAAATGGCAACCCACTCCAGTATCTTTGCTAAGAAAACCCCATGGACAGCACTGGAGTGCTATGGTCCATGAAGTCACGAAGAGTTGGACACGATTGAATGTCTAAACAATAACAATGGCAAAGTCAAGGGAAAAAATTTTTTTTAAGAACAGAAAGACTTTAGCATGTTTAAAGGCATGGGAGATGGAAATATAAAATGGCAATTGAAGATGGGAGGAGCAGCTAGGTGGCACAGTGGATAGAGCACTGGCCCTAGAGTGAGCAGGACCTGAGTTCAAATCTAGCCTCAGAAACTTACTAGCTATGTGAACCTGGGCAAATCACTTAATGCAGATTGCCTTAAAAAAAAAAAAAGATGGGAGGGGGGGAATGATGGTTGATAGAACATACTACCAGAGGAATTGCAAGAAGATAGACTTAAGGGCAAATGTGAAGGTGCTAGCCTTGGCAAGCAGTGTCCATAAGACAGGAACGAAGGAGAGAATGGGTGATGTGATTGGTAAAAACATTCAGGAAATCATAAGTAAATACTGGGATGGCTTAATAAAGAACCTTGAGGAACATTTCTTGGTCAGCTTCAAGAAAATGATAGCTACAGTCCTAGTCTTGAATTCCCTTGCCACTGGACTGTAAGAGAAATATGCTAGCCAAAAACAAGGACAAAAGGAGTCAGATGTGAAACTGTGGATGCAGAGTACCCATTTGGAGCACCACCCATTGAGGAAGGAGATAGGCCGATGTATGTTAATAATGATATATTGAAGGTAAATCACAACAGAGACAGGACATCCTGGGGCCAAAGAATGGACGTTTAGAGGGAGGAATCTCACCCAGCTGAGCTTCAGGTTGGGATTTTGCTCCCATCCACTGCTTTCACTCCTATTCACACACTGCTGAATGAAGCTAGAGAAAATTAGGAAACCATGGTGACTAGGTCCATTATAAATTTATATTCCATAATCTCAACAGAAGCTACAGCAAGGCAATCCTTTTACACCTCCCTAATCGATTCATTCTCACTCATCATAGTGGCTTTTCCAAATCTTTTCATCCCTCCTCAAACGTTCCATGGCTCCCCAACCCCCACCCTCTCAGCTGAGAACCTTGCTTTTTATTTCACTGAAAAAAATGGAAACAATTTGCTGAAAGCTCCCTCTTCTCCCCTCCTCCTTATTTCCCATCACTCAGATGCCTCCTCCCATTATTTCCGCCTTCACCCATTCCACATGAACAGCTGGCTATTTTCCTTATCGAAGTTAGCCCCTTTACATGCACAAATGATTCTATTCCATACCATTTTCTCCAGCACATTAACCCCTTTATCATCTCTCTCTCTCTCTGTCTCTGTCTCTCTATCTCTGTCTCTATCTCTCTCTCCTTTTCTCTCCCTCTCTCACCAATATTCAGTCTTTCCCTGTCTACTGGTTGCTTCTATATTACCTACAAACATATTTCTGTCTCCCTAATCCTCAAAAACCTCTCACTTGATTCATCCACCCCCTCTAGCTATACTGTTTCTCTGGCCAATCTCATCAATTCCCATAGATGCAATTATCATCTTTATGCTGATGGTTCTCAGATCTATTTGTCCAGCTTTAACCTCTCTCCTGACCTCTAGTTTTGCATCTCCAGCTGCCCATTAGATATCTTGAACTAGATGTCTCATAGATAGCTTAAACCCAACATGTCCTAAACTGAATTCACTACCTTTCTCTCCAAATCCTTTTCCCCTCTTAACTTTCTTGTTATTGTCAAGGGTGCTACCATTCTCTCAGTTAATGCAGGCTTGCAACCTAGGTGTCATCCTTAATTCCTCACTCTCTCTCATTTCTCAAATACAAGCAGCTGTCAAGGCTTATCAATTCTTCTTTCATAACATCTTTTACATGTTCCCCTTCCTTTCCTCTGATGCTGCCACCTTCTTGGCACCTCCTCACCACCTTATAACCGGACTACTGACATAGCCTGCTGGCTGTTATTACTGCCTCTATTCTCTCCCCACTTAACTGCAGAATCTGGGTTCTGATTACTCTTCCCATTTGGGTACAAGTACACCTGGGTGGTCCCATACATTGGGAACACACTGGGATATACACAAATGACAAAGGCTTTTTAGAGAAGCACAAACTATTAACTCAGGTATGTCTAAGCAATTTCCCACCTATGATGTAATAATTAATAAGTTGGAAGTTTCCAGAATTAAAGATTCCAGATTTGGGGGTGGCATGCCAGGGAAATCAGGCAGGAAAAAGGGACATGCCTAGGTAAGAGACAATCTGTTACAAGAAAAGCCAGGTCCAGAAACCAGAGCTTTTGGAGGAATGACCAGAACCCTGTGCTGAACTAATAAATAGAAGTATGCATAGAATGATTTTATACACACATACCTACACATGCACATGCACACGCACACACACACACACACACACACATATTTGTGTCTAATAGCTATCTCTAGGGTGGGAGATGAAGAGAAAGAAAAAAATTTCATGATAACTTTATTATATATTTAAAAGGAATAGCAAGTCATACATAATAGATTTGCAGTTTCATGTGCAATCGTCTTTTTTTTTATTCTACTATGTTGTGGAAGTATTTGTTTTATTTTATAAGTTCAAAATAAAATAAACTTTAAAAAAAATTAAATTAAATTATTTTTTAAAAAGCATTGGGTCAGGGCAGCTAGGTGGCGCAGTGGATAGAGCTGGGCCCTGGTTTCAGGAGGACCTGAGCTCAAATTCAGCCTCAGACACATAAAAACACTTATTAACTGTGTGACCCTGGGCAAGTCACTTAACCCCATTGCTAGCCCCCCCCCAAAAAAAAGCATTGGGTCCTGAGTCTTTTGGAGAAGTCCTATTCAGATTCCTCAGCTACCCATTCACTTTTGTGATAAATACAGGACACTTCAGGAGAAAGGCAGTAGGTAGATGTTGGCGTTGATGTTCATCTTTCATTTTCAAAGAGGACCAATGATGTCACCTGAGGATCATGATAAAGCTCCTGTCCAGATCACTGCTTGTACGCTGGCCAGTTGTAAAGTGTAATGTCTATAGCCCAGTCAGCTTCATCATTCAGTAAGAAAATCATTGCACAGTGGCAGATAATAATAATAAAAATAACTAGCATTTTTATAGAGTTTAAAGATTTGCAAAGCACTTTACAAATATGCCATTTTTATCTTCACAACAATGCTGTGAAGTAGGTGCTATTATTATATCCTCATTTTACAAATGAGGAAACTGAGGCAGGCAGCACTCTGGTACAACTCTCTAACCCTTCTAGTCCATCCTTCATTCCCTCAGGTCTGATCAGGTCACCCCATGTTCAATAAATGCCGATGGCTCCCTATTGCTTCCAGAATCAAACATAAAATCCTCCGGTGTTCAAAGCCCTTCATAACCTGATCCCTCCCTAGTTTGACAATTTTCTTTACTTGCCCTCACTCCATGGACAAGATACTCCATCTCCCGACTCGGGGCATTTTTACTGGCTGTCCCCATGCCCAGAATGTTCTCCTTCCTCATCTCCATCTTCCTTCAAGTCTCAGCTAAAGTCCCATTCTGCAAGAAGCCTTTCCTGATCCCCCTTAATACTGGCATCTTCCTTCTGTTAATTGCCTCCAATTTGTCCTGTCTATCTCATCTGTACATAGTTGCTTATATGTTGTCTCTGCCTGTCCCTGCCTTAGACTATGAGCTCCTTGGGTGCAGAGACTACATTTTTGTCTTTCTTTATATCCCCAGCACTCATGACAATACCTGGCACATAGTAGGAATTTAGCGAGTGCTTCTTGACATGGCTTGAAATGGGGAGAAGCAATTTCTGCGAATGTCAGGGAAGTGGAATATGACTTAAGGAATAGACTTTCCTGTATCTGAATGAAAAGTTGGAATCAGACTTTATTGATACTATGTAATGATTTTGAAAACTACCTGTTGGATCTATATCAAGTATCCCCCACAGACAGAACCTAGTGCTCGCGCGCTCACTCTCTCTCTCTCTCTCTCTCTCTCTCTCTCTCTCTCTCTCTCTCTCTCTCTCTCTTTCTCTCTCTCTCTCTCTCTCTCTCACTCTCTCTCTCTCTGTCTTTCTCAGTCTCTGTCTCTCCTCTCAAATAAAATAAGTTGTCAAGTCCTGTCAGTTGTACCTTCTGTTCTAGCACAATGTAGGGACTTTAAAATGTTCACTGGACAAAATGAATAGAGCTCAAGAACTCACAAGTTCTCAGAAAATGGATGAGGTAAGGGTTACAAATAGGCTTAGAGGTGGTTAAGGAACCTACCCAAGGTCACAGAGCGGATCAACCTGAATTTGGATACAACATCAGTCTTCCAGCTCTTCTAAATTCAGTATCTATCTGATGCATTTTACAGCTTCTCTTAATCTACAAAACATGTGTCAAGCTCAGCTGACCAAATTTGACCTTGTCCTCATTCCCAGACCCATGAATTGCCTGAGACTGACCAGACATTATCACTCCCAGCCTCTGACTAATTTTGTAAATGTCCCAAACTCTCCCCTCCAGAGATTCCCAAGCTTTCTCTATAGACTTTTTGCTTGATGTGCAAAACAACTTACCTCGTGAAACTGTGAGACTCCCCTAACCCCACCTGCAGCCTGGTCAGTCCCTCTGGTCAATCCCTCTGCCTAACCCCTCACACCGGCAGGCAGACCAATCCCCCTGCCTAATCCCTCCCACCTGCAGGCTGGCCAATCTCCCTGTCTAACCCCTCCCACCTACAGGCTGGCCAAATCCCCTGCCTAACCCCTCCCACCTGCAGGCTGGTCAGTCCTTCTGCCTAACCCCTCCCGCCTGCAGATTGGCCATTTCCTCTGCCTTAGTATCCTATATAAACCCTGTTCTCAGTCCCCTCCTTGGGTATCCCAGCACTTGCTGTGTGGCACCTTGAGCTGTAACTTACTTGCCTTGACTAAAGACCTTAATTTTGCTATATTGGCTATTTTCTGTTGAATTCAGGCTGACTCGTGTAGAAAAAATCCTGCACTCCTATTATGTTGCCTAATGTAATAAATGACTCTTACTTGAAGTACCTATTGGAGATAAGTAAATGGGTCATTCCATCTCACAGATCAGTTACGTTCCAATATCTCATGTGCAAGTAGGATCATAGTACGAGGAAGGTCATGCCATGGAGCATGCCCAGAGTCCCTTCCTGGTTCTGTTTAGTCTCCCATTCTGGATCCCCATTTGGGTACATTAGAGATGATGATTTTCCAGGCTTATTCGGGCCATGTGGGCACTGAAGGATGGTGCTAAAGAATGTGGGCACTTTGAAACAATGAAGCTCCCCTCTCACTGGCTGTAGAACTGTAGAACGGTCCATGACTTTATCAAACCTTTAAAAAAAAAAAAGCAGAAAGAGGGGGAAAATTTTTTATAGTGTGTCTCTGATAAAGGCCTTATTTCTCAAACATAAAGAGAGTTGAGACAAATTTATAAAAATGCAAGTCATTCCCTAATTGATAAACAGTCAAAGGATATGAACAGGCAGTTTTCAGAAGAAATCATAGCTATCTTTGACACATGAAAAAAATGCCCTAAACCACTATTCATTAGAGAAATGCAAATTAAAACAACTCTGAGGTACTACCTCATACCTATCAGATTAGCTAATAGGACAGAAAAGGAAAATGATAAATGTTGGAGGGAATGTGGGAAAATTGGGACACTAATGTATTGTTGGTGGAGTTGTGAACTGATCTAACCATTCTGAAGAACAATTTGGGACCATGACTAAAGGGCTATAAAACTATGCATACCCTTTGACCCAGCAATACCAGTGATAGGTCTGTATCCCAATGAGATTAAAAAAAAAAGGAAAAGGACCCATTTGTATAAAAATATTTGTAGCAGCTCTTTTTGTAGTGGCAAAGAACTGGAAATCTTTTTTTTTTTTTTTTTTTTTTTTGCTTTTAGGCAATTGGGGTTAAGTTACTTGCCCAGGGTCACACAGCTAGTAAGTGTCAAGTGTTTGGTCTGAGGTTGGATTTGAACTCAGGTCCTCCTGACTTCAGGGCAGGTGCTCTATCCACTGTACCACCTAGCTGCCCCCAAAGAGCTAGAAATTAAGGGGATGCTCATTAATTGAGGAATGGCTGAACAAGTTGTGGTATACGATTGTAATGGATCACTATTGTGCTATAAGAAATGACAAGCAGGACGATTCCAGAAAAACCTGGAAAGACTTGCATGAACTGATGTGAAGTGAAGTGAGCAGAACCATGAGAACATTGTACATAGTAGCAGCAATATTGTACAATGATCAACTGTGTACAACTTAGCTATTCTCAACAATACAATGATCAAAGACAATCCCAAAGGACTCATGATGAAAAATGCTATTCACCTTCAGAGAAAGAAATGATGGAATCTGAATGTAGATTGAAACACACTATTTTTCACTTTGGGGTATTTTTTTTTTGGCACTTGGGGTTAAGTGACTTGCCCAAGGTCACACAGCTAGTAAGTGTCAAGTGTTTGGTCTGAGGTCACATTTGAACTCAGGTCCTCCTGACTTCAGGGCTGGTACTCTATCCACTGCGCCACCTAGCTGCCCCTATTTTTCACTTTCTTCATTTTGTGGGGTTTTTTTTTTGTCCTCGTTTTCTTTCACACCATGACTAATATGGAAATATGTTGTGCATGATTGCACATTTATAATCTGTAGCAAATTGCTTACTGTCTCAGGAAGGGGGAAGCAGAGGGAAAGAGAAAAAGTTTTGAACTCAAAACTTTTTCAAAAGAACGTTAAAAATTGTTTTTACATGTAATTGCAGGGAAATAAAACATTTTGTTTTTAAAAAGAGATAGTTTCCAGCTCAATTTAAAAGAGTTTTAAGGATCATTTTCTTGCCAGATTATAACAGTACATAGCTATAAGTTCATTGAATCTCATTTTAAAATTGCTTTGTCAATGTGCACTTTGAATCTGTTAGCAATTCACCACACAATTAAGTAGCATAAGAGGCTAGAACACTGGATTTTGAAGTCAGGACAACCTGAATTTGAATCCTGCCTCAGATAGCAGCCAATGTGACTCTGAGCAAATTATTTAACTTCTTAGCCACAGTTTCCTTATCTGTAAAATGGGCACAAATAACAGCACCTGTCTCAAAGGATTGTTGTGAGGATCAAATGAAATAACACATGTAAAGTGCTTTGAAAATCTTGAAGAGCTATGTAAATTCTTATTATTATTATTTGTGTATAGGAAATAAGTACCTGTCCCATACCTGATTCATAAGTTTACATGAAATACCTTTTGGTGGAGACCAGCTCATGTAGACATGAGCCACAATCTAAGCTATAAATAAGTCTTCCCTGGGACAGCAAAATAGGGGATGTAATGAGCCAAAGAGTCTGGGAAGAGGGAGTGTAAGTCTATGAGAGGCCAGGCTCCCCTAATTCTGACCCTCATCCAGAACACCTGCATGGGTGCAGAACAAGAGGAGCTCCTAACAAAGAGGGAATGGTTGCAGTTCTCCAGCCCCTTGGATCCAGCAATGGAACCACAAGATTGAAATCTGGAGAGGACCTTAGAGAGAACATCTAATCTAATACCCTCATTTTACTATTTCAATTAAATTCAACAAGCAATTATTAGGCACTTATCATATGGAAGGCAGCTAGATAGTGCAGTGGATAGAGTGAAGTGCTTGGAAGTACATCTTCCCGAGTTCAAATCTGACCTCAGACATTTACTAGCTGTGTGACCCTGGGCAAGTCACTTAACCCTGTTTGCCTCAGTTTCCTCATCTGCAAAATAAGCTGGAGAAGGAAATGGCAAACACTTCAGTTGTTGTCTTGTTTGTCCTTCATTCTGAAAGAGGACATGTGCATGAAATAAATTTAAGTAAGGCAGAGCTGGACAAAGTCATCAGCCTCACTCTTTCCTTCAGAGTCCAGCGTCAAGACAAAAGCCAAGACAAAGTCGTAGTCCATGGCCTAGGACTTGGTGAGTGACCAGGGCATTTTAAAAATCTTTCCAGGTTTCAGTTTGTCTGAGGCAATGACCATTCAATGACTAAGAGCTAGGTAAGAATTGAGACAAAAGAGGGCCTAGTTTACTATCACAAAAATATCAATCTGAGAGGGATAGATCCTCTGAGTTTCTGGCTAGGACAGAAAACAGTTGCTATTTAACTCATTCTAAGCCATGAAAACCCAAAGAACGAGCAACAGAGACCTGGGTTGGGGCCTATTATTTATTGGCCATTCGGTGGAAGCCAGAGGTGTTTAGGGATTAAAGACTTAGTCAAGTAGCTCCATTTGAATCACAATGGACTTTTTAAAGCCTATTTTCTCAGAGCTATATTTCAAAAATGAAAATTGTGCAGAATATGGAGTAAATTGTCCCAGCTTTTTGAAAAAAAAAATAAAAATAAATCTAGTCCCCCAAACCCCAAGACATCTTCCAAAATATAAGTGACAAAAAGTATACTCCTTTGGACAGAGTATCTACATGTAAGGGTATGATGCCCAAAGTGGAGAGAGGGACCACATGTAGGGAAGGAAGAAAAAGGAATATGGAAGATGGAGAAGGAGGAGGAGGAGGAGTAGAAGAAGGAAGAGGAGAGGAAGAAGAGGAAGAAGAAAGCATTCCTCAACTCAGACTGGCATGTTGTGTCCCCAGAGGGCAGGTACTGCTACTCACAGATTGTTGTTTGTCCTTAGCTCTTGAAGAGGGTCAATGACTTCACCAGGGTGATGTCTTGACATGTGAATGAATTGGATTTAAGTGAGGCAGAGCTGTACAATGTCATCAGTCTCACTTTCTCCCCCAGAATCCCCCTTATGATGACAGTGTTCAGAAGAAACAAGTATCATCTCATATTTAAATGTAAATAGTTTATCTTTGTCTAGCATGTTATCATGGGTCGTTCATGTTTACTTTTTTATGTTTCTCTCCATTTCTGTGTTTGTATTTCAAAATTTCTATGCATCTGGGGTCTTTTCATCAGAAATGCTTGTAAGTCTTCCATTTCGTTAATGATCCATTCCCTGCCCTTCTCCCCACACTATTATCCCCAGTTTTGTTAGGTAAGTTATTCTTGAATATAAGCCAATATCCTTTGCCTTCTGGAATATATCATTCTAATTCCTGCTTATTTATAGTGGTGGCTGCTAATTGTATTGTGACTGAATCAAACTGTTGCTCATTAGTACTTGAATTCTTTCTTTCTGATTGCTTGCAGTATTTTTCCTCTGATCTAGAAACTCTAGAATTCTAAATTTTGGGAGCTTTCATTTTGGCAGGTTTTTTCCCCCCAGATGATAAGCAATAGATTCTTTCTTTTGCTCTTTGCCCTTTGATTCTAAGAGATACGAGCAATTTTCTTTTAAGATGTCTTGAAAAAAACATCTAGGCTTTTTATTTTTTGTTCGTGGTATTCAAATATTGTAGTGATTCTTAAATTTTTTTTCTCCTTAATCTGCTTCTAGATTAGTTGTTTTTTTCTATGAAATGCCTTAAATTTTCTTCTATTTTTTAGCTCTTTGACTTTATTTGAAAATTTCTTGTTGTCTCATAGAGTCATTGGCTTCTATTTGGTCTGTTCCAATTTTTAGGTAGTTTGTTCCTTGGGCAATGTTTTGTACCTCTTGTGCTAAGATGTTAATTAACTCTCCACTTCTTTCT